CCAATTTTTTATTCCCTTTTTTCTGCTCCGCAGAATTAGCTCATGTAGCCATTGTCTAGACTTACGTTCTGCTACTATCTATGAAATTTCATATAAAGTGTTTAAACCGCCTTTGAATTAATTCGCACTCAAGTAGTTTGCAACAAAATAAATTGCGAAATTTCTTAGGAAACATGCTGTGTGAAATTTCCTCTTTGTATCTTCTGCTTATATATTTTTTTGTTTGTTCGCGCCAAAACTGTCGACTGTTCCAGCATCGCTTTCTGTCGTCTGCTTGTTAGATAATAGATGTTGGTTAGATATTGACAGAGAATGTACGTTCCTCTGAAACGCATCTTGGGTTCTGGATGTAGCTTAATTAATTATACAGAAATGTTCATGTATAACATATTATAATGATCCAGAAATGTGCAGCTTCATTTTGAACCAGGCTTCCAGAACTTTTATTGATGGCACAGTAACTCTCCTAATTCGAGCTCATTACCATAACAAGACAAATTTAAACAAAATAGATATATATGTTGGTTAAAAATAAAGTGACTACGAAATAACAGTTAAATAACTTGAATATTTATTTCCATTTTGTGAAAATAAAAAAAAAATGTTTACTGTTCACGTTAATGAATAGATGAATATGCTAAGTAGTATAACATTTCATAAAACGTTTTCAAGTAAGAAGTCACGTTTTACAATATTCATGTTGACAAATGACCACAGGATGCGGATAATTTGACCCAAATAAATATAAGCGATTTCTAGCCATCACGTTGATTCTAAAAGCGCACGCACGCACGCACGCACACACGCACACACACCTGAGTGTACGCCACGATGTTTACTTATTCTTAAGCATCAATCTTCACAACATATCTTATCTTCAGCTAATTAATATCAGAAATTTGGTATGATCAATTATGAATAATTGAAGTCTTGATAATTAACGTTAGCACTCGGTTTCCCCTTCCTTCTTGTTTCTTTATAATTATAAGTAGTTCACTCTATAGTCATTACAGCTTATAAGTGTTGCATGGTGCGGGGTTCTGTAAATCTGTTATTTATCTGACTTAGTAACTTATTAATTTGTTTGGGTTACCTTGCCCAAAAATAAAGGATAAATAAGATAACGAGTAACTTAAAATAACAAGATGAGTTAAAACTCTAAACAATTAGGCGCTAACCAGGTACTGTGGTTGCTTTGATGAATCTGGCGCGGGAAACAGGTGCACGGACATCAGACGCCGTACAGGCTCTTTTCTCAACACACAAGGCTATCAAGTGCAAAAGAATCAGTATAAATTTTGAATCACTATCTTTTTAATGACTATTATGTTTACGTCATTCGGATGTGTTTTGTCTTTTATCCCTGTACATTGTCCATCCTAATAGTCACTGGTCACAGAAAAAAAATCAGGTTACATAATAAAATCTAGTTATCTGTCATATATCCTATTTGGGTATTGAAGGTATAATAAACGCCGAAATTCAACTATATTGGCTCTAAGTCAAATATTGTTCAATGTTTTGAAGTTTATTATTTCGAAAAGACTAAAATCATTCATAGTAACTATTACCGAAATATGAAGAAAAGACAATTACAAGATAAATCAAAACGAACATTTGTAACAACAACAACAACAACAACAACAGCACCAGCAGCACCAGCAACAACAACAATAACAATTTGACAAACAAAGACAATCACCACCACAAAAAATAAAATAAAAATACAACGACGAAACATCAGCAAAAAAGCTAAGAAAATCAACAAAAATACATAAATAACAATGAACTTCGGGGAAAGATATAAAGAAATAAAAAAGGGGAAACGAGCAAATATGTTAGAAAACAACAAAAAATGAGATATGCGTATCTACAAAAACATTTCATAACCAACTTTATCTTGAACGGAAATGCCAAAAATTTATAACTCATCCGTTGCCGTTAAATCCCCAATTTCAGTACTTGAAGTTAATTCACGTTATTTCTTGTATTTTCAGGATTATACCCCCACTGGGTTCGATACCTATACAAGCACGTATGAAGCTACAGACACGTATACAATAAAATTGTCATTATGGGATACCTCAGGTTCGTACTTAAAACATACTTTGACAACATATGAGCCGTGTCATGACAAAACCAACATAATGGGTTTGCGACTTTCATGGATCCAGACCAGCCTGCGCATCCGCGCAGTCTGATCAGGATCAATGCTGTTCCCTCTCAGTTTCTCTTCTTGTTATAGGGTCTGTAAGCGAACAGCATGGATCCTGATCAGACTGCGCGGATGCGCAGGCTGGTCTGGATCCATGCTGGTCGCAAAAGCACTATGTTGGTTTTGTCATGACACGGCACATATACTTTTTTCACATATTTGTGTGCTTGAAAATTTCTTTGCTTGTTCTTAGTTTATTTCAGAACCCAATTTGCAAACACATGACAATATGAACTATAACTTATATACATATAAAGAATAAAGACATATTGTATAAACATGTAAACCTTATTGGCGACTCTGTCATAAAAGAAAACAGTGGCCATTATCAAATTTTGAATAGTACATTATCTTAACGAATGAAGAAAACACGTATTTTATCAAAACATGATCAATGATTTTCGAGAAATGCTTTTTCCAAAGTTTATATGATTATTTCAGTAATAAACAGTGTCTGCATTAGTTAAATGTGTTATTGTATGTGTATTGGAATGTTTACCTATATTTTAATACATCACTTATTGTTATTGCTATATTTCTTTCCTAATATCTTTTGGTTGTGGGAGAATTGTTTTCATGCAATGTGTAAACATAAAATCTTTGTATTTCCCTTTATATATATTGGCAAGCTTTAAAATAAAAATTAGAAAGTATAATTTTGAAATCGTAAAATTCGGTCAAACTATCAATTTTAACATTTGCAAACACTTAAACTTATAAAAACAGATTTTTAGGTTTTGTAACTCATTGATTTTACTTCTTGTATGCGAATACAGATGTTTAAAACATTAAAATGCATTCCAAACTGATTTCATACCGTCTTAAGTTTAAATGGATCCGCCTGTAGCATTTCATGAATTCGAGTATCTTGTGCATTTTTTACAAACAATTTCGAACAAAACTGGTGCTTGACGATGTAACACAACTGCTGTTGTCCTAATGTCAGGCAAATTTGTCCATACTAAATTTCTAGTATGTCGTTTTACTTTAACATCCATTTCTTACAGATAAAAGTTAAACAAAGATCGCAATATCGCTTATGCGCGCAGGTAACGCGATCAACCAGTTCTATAACATGATTATTTTATTAACCGTTGAATTAAAAATTGCTTCCTGCAAATGTGTCTCCGTTTGTAGAGTATACACTAACATAATGGTCCGTTCGTAGAGTGTACACTTACATAATGGTCCGTTCGTTGAGAATATACTAACATAATGGTCCGTTCGTAGAGTGTACACTAACATAATGGTCCGTTCGTAGAGTGTATATTAGCATAATGGTCCGTTTGTAGAGTGTATATTGGCAAAATGGTTCGTTCGTAGAGTGTATACTAACATAATGGTCCGTTCCTAGTGTGTATACTAACATAATGGTTCGTTCGTAGAGTGTATACTAGCATAGTGGTCCGTTCGCATAGTGTATACTAACATAATGGTCCGTTCCTAGAATGTATATTAGCATAATGGTCCGTTTGTAGAGTGTATACTAACATAATGGTCCGTTCGTAGAGTGTTCTAACATTATGGTCCGTTCGTAGAGTGTATACTAACATAATGGTCCGTTCGTAAAGTGTACACTAACATATTGGTCTGTTTGTAGAGTGTACAATAACATAATGGTCCGTTCGTAAAGTGTACACTTACATAATGGTCCGTTCGTAGAATCTCCACTAACATCATGGTCCGTTCCGTTTGTAGTGTGTATACTAGCATAATGGTTCGTTCGTAGAGTGAACTCTAACATAATGGTCCGTTCGTACACTTACAGATTGGTCTGTTCGTAGAGTGTACAATAACATAATGATCCATTCGTAGAGTGTATACTAGCATAATGGTCCGTTCGTAGAGTGTGCACTAACATAATGGTCCCTTCGTAAAGTGTACACTAACATAATGGTCCGTTCGTAGAATCTCCACTAACATCATGGTACGTTAGTAGTGTGTACACTCACATAATGGTCCGTTCGTAGAGTACATACTAACATAATTGTTTGTTCGTAAAGTGTACACTAACATAATGGTCCGTTCGTAGAGAGTGTTCTATAAACATAATGGTTCGTTCGTAGAGTACATACTAACATAATTGTTCGTTCGTAAAGTGTACACTAACATAATGGTTCGTTCGTAGAGTACGTACTGACATAATTGTTTGTTCGTAAAGAGTACACTAACATAATGGTTCGTTCTTAGAGTACATACTAACATAATTGTTCGTTTGTAAAGTGTACACTAACATAACGTTCCGTCCGTAAAGTGTACACCAACATAATGATCCGTTCTTCGAGTGTACATTTACATAATGATCCGTCATATAGTGTATACGAACATAATGGTCCGTTCGTAGTGTATACAAAAGACGTTAGTCACAAGACGTTATGCCCCGGTCACATATTCACGGATAATGCCACGGAAGAGCTACGGTCTAATCGTTCACGGATTACTACGGAAATGTGAAATTTCGTAGTCCACTACGGTTCCAGTACGGACACACAACGGTATGAGTACGGAGTCCGACGGATTTACCACCAAAAGCCCCCGGAGAGACACGGATTGTTACGGACCGACACGGTTTGATACGGAGCGACACGAATCAGGACGGACGCACTACGGATACATTACGGTCTGCTACGGTATAAGCACGGGTTAGTACGAATAAGTACGGTCTGATACGGAGAAGAACGTATTGATACGGAGAATAACGAATTGCCACGGATCTATACGTACCTAATACAACCGTCCACAACCTCTTGCTTGCTCATTTTCAAAATGCCTTAAAAGAAAAGAACACCTTGAAAACGAATTGCAGAGTTCAATAATTTTGGCGGAGAGGACTTGGCCTAATCGCCTCCGACCCCGAGACACATCAGGTCCGATTAAAGTGTATTTCTTGAAGGACGCTGGATCCTCAACAAGTTCGGCCATGAGAGCCTCATACTAAACTTGAAGCGGTCTTCGTAAAAGCCCATCTCTAGTCCACCATCTCGTCTGTCTTCTCTTACCAGATTAGATATGGACTAGTAATCATTAATGAAATATGTTGATCAATGCTACGCTTCTCTTTTACTTTTTAGATTTGCTGTTCATCTTACAATTACGTACATTAATTATCGTGATGTTTATGTTTTGAAAATATGTAAAAAGCTTGTTAATTAATCTTATTATCACTCAAGGGCCAGCCTCCGAGGCTTATGAGACACTTTGTTTCATGTACATATTTACTCCAATTTCACGATCCAATGTTTGTAAAATATTTAACATTAAATGTTATTATATTACTTATGAATTGTAGTACGATATTAATATAAATTTACTTCTATGTATGTCATCAAGCAGCTCGACCACTGCCTACGCATTCTGAGCCATTTCAGTATAAAGTTGCAGCCAGTAAATGGCAATTATCATTTATTAAATTTTTCTGCAAATATGTCTGTTTTTAACAAGAAAGTAGTATTTATACCCTTGAAAAAGTACATGATACTTAATTCATCCGTACTAAACAGTGGTGGACCGTACCATTCCGTACCGTTTCGTGTTGCAACGCAATAAACCGTATAAAACCGTGCTAATCCTTGCCTCTCCGTAGTACAACGTATTACGATCGTGGCTTTCCGTGACAATGCCGTAATAATCCGTATTAAAAACGTAGCTTATACGTAGGGTAACCGTACAAATACGTAGTTCTCCGTACAAAACCGTGGAAATCCTTGACAAGTTGGTGGACTACGAATCAGTACGGACTAGTACGGTTTTCGTACGGACCTGTACGTATCAGTACGGATTAATACGGACTAGTAGGGATACGCTACGGTTGATTTTTCCGTAGCAAATTTTTGCGCATGTTCAAAAATTGTCAAGGATCGCTACGGATATACAAGGACTACTACGATTGATTACGGTTACAATACGGAGAGCTACTGACCAGTACGGGTAGCTACGGACGATGCCGGAATTAATCCGTGGCTCTTCCGTGGGCGTATTCCGTGAATATGTGACCGGGGCATTAGTCTACAAGTTACTGTCAACTTGGTGTTGGAAGCACTTATCTAACATTGATAAAAAAATCAACAGAAATTAGATTCCCATGTACAATCAAATTGTAACTGTTTATTCCACAAACATGTAAGAAAATAAGATCATTAAATAATTTAATTATTTATTTAAACTCAATCATCTGCAATAAAGAAATAAAATATCATGAACGCGCTTTCATGTGCTATTTGTGAATGCAGGTTTAATAGTTTTTCCTTGTTTAATACTGAAAAGAATAAATAACCACAAAAAGAAAAAAGAACAAAAAAGAGATCCGATAACTGGAATATCTTCCTTGCCTTTAATTTTTTTTTCTATAAAATAAATACCGTACAGGAAATCATGCGGTTTGATGCCCTTATTATTCATTAATTTTATGAATACTATTTTCTCAGGAAAAAACATAAAAAACAAAACCAATTAAAAACCGAAAATATTTATTGGCATATATATCTAAGATTCTGAAATACACTGCAATTTATATTTCATGAAACTTCTCTTTTAAAGTCATCATTTATATAAACAAGAAATGCTGCGTACTTGTGTAATCTGATTAACTGCACTTCAAAACATTTATAACGAAATATGAAGTCTGCATAAAAACAAAGCAAAATATGATATGTTTAAATACTATAAATTTACTTCACAGATATAACGTAAATGAACAAATGAACACAAATGTCTTTTTAATTCTTTAATTTGTGGACTGTAGTGCACGATTTATTCTAAATTCATAGATTGATAACATGACAGTGTTTTATTTCCTCCTATTCATTGTTTTTCTACAACATTTTCTTTCTTCAAAATTTTATTTTCCAAAACTTCGATCTCAGATTGTAAAATG